TTAACCAATGCGTTGAGCGCACTACATAATGTGTAACGTATTTTGGTTCACGAATAGTGTCCTTACTTAATCAGAGGATATAATTACTCGTATTTAATATTTAAATATAATTAAATTAACTACTTGTAAATTATATACTAAATAACATTACTTTTTTTAAAAAATAAATAAATTAAAAACCAACGAATTCTCAAAAAATAAACTGGATGTGAGTGTAGATGGGATTACCTAACCTAACCTAATAAAGGGTTACGTGATTGAAGATATGTCTGTCAAACTGATATTGCCAACTACGTGAAGTTCATACGAATGACAGCTCTTTATATTGTTTACAAGCTACTACAAGCATTTGCGTGTAAGTTTTATAGAACAAAATTTATTCGAAATGGAATTCATTATATTTGATTGAAAATCACAACCAGCTATTATTCGTGAAGTCAAACACCTAAAATATTTTTAATTCACTTGTTTGTATATCGTACCACAAATCGATATACTAGAACAGCTAGCGTCGCCAAATGCGTGGAAGAAAAAAACAGCAACCACCTAAAATGGTCAGAAAAGTTAAGGCTCGACTTTAACGAAATCCACGCTGTAGTAGTAATCAAATGGCCAAAGAAGTGAAAATATTCCAGCAAAGCATCCAATGCATATTCCAAAATTAGTTCGAGGTTAATCCTTACAAGCTGCAAAATACACAAAATTTTACACTAGAGCAACAAAAAGTTAGACTCGAAAAAGCAAAGGAGTCGTCAAGCTTGCACGAACGTGGTGAATTTTCAAACATTGTGTTCGCTGACGAAAAAATATCCTCATTGAGCAGTTCATAAACTCTCAAAGTAATCGTGTTTATTTAACTGAAAGCACTGCCAAAAATATGAAACTACGAATAGCCGCCCGAAGTAATTTTCCATGTGAAGTAACGGTATGGGCAGCTGTTATCGCCGATTGACGCTCTCCAATCATTTTTATCGAGCCTGGTCTCAAAATCAAGGGGATTTATTATTGGGAAAACGTTTCGAAAGTTGTTTTAGAGCTGTGGGCATGCAAATATTTCGATCATAGACCATGGACGCTTCAACAAGGCTCGGCTCATGTGAATTAATAAAGGCTAAAAATCATGTTCCACACTTCCTTTCGCCTACAAAATGGCTTTCGAGTTCGCCAGATGCAAATCCGATGGATTATTCCATCTGGGTTATTTTGAAAACCAAGGTGAGGGCTAAAAAATAAGGCAATATGGATGCGCTGAAGCGAGCTATTCTTCAAGAATGGGCCAAATTTCCGGATAAACATGCAACAAATATTTCTTGAAAGATGCAACTTATTTTTTGACCATTTGAAGACCATACTCAAGAGAAAAGGTGACGATATCGAGCTAGAGTAAATGGACTCTAAAATTTTGATTATTTCCTCAAATTTTTGTAATTTAAATCAATAAAACATAATTTCTCAACAAAAGGATATGGTCGCTTGATTAGGAAACACTTCAATTGCTAACCCCGTATACGGTGACTAAAGAACAAAAAAGCGACAGGCTGGCGTCGACATGCTGACCTGGAGCTTACATCAGATTATTTGCAGAATATGGTTAAATGAAAGTACACCCAACGATTGTAATCTTATTCTGTCTTGAAATATAGCGCTTAATAATAATATTTATCATGTGCAAGGTCCTTTTAACTGAACTATGTGAAAGGTGTAAGCCACATGCCAACTTCTTGGTTGGGCGTTGTCAGCACGGCTTTCGACATGGTCGTTCTACTATTGACCTGATATTCACAAATTCTAGAAAAAGCCCAAGAACACCCATCATCTTCTTTTCGAATATAAAGCAGCTTTTGTATATCGTACCACAAATCGATATACTAGTACAGGTAGCGTCGCCAATATTCCCGCAAAGTTAATACAACACTGCAGAATGGCGTTGAAGAGTCAAAGTAGGACCGAGTCTCTCCAAAGCTTTTACTATGCAAGACTTCAAACAAGGTGATCTCTTATCATGGGATCTTTTCAATTTCGTCATGGAAGAAACTTTGAGCAGGTTTTAATCGTTGTGGAAAAATATTTCACAAATGTGTCCAAGTCCTTACTTATGCTGATGACATCCGCACCATTGGGGGTAACAAGCGTGATGCCACAACTGTAGAAATGGGCTTAGCAGTAAATGAGAACATAACGATGAATATATCGACTACTGGTGAAATGTGCGTGCTCGAAAGCCGAAACAGTGATTGGTGACTATACTTTCGAATATACCAATGATTTCCTCTACCTTGGCACCGCCGTAATTAACAACAATAATATTAGCCTGGAAATAAGACGAAGAATCACCATTGCCATTAGGTGATATCTTGGACTCATTAGGCAGCTAGGATGTAGAACTCTCTATCAACGAGCAGTATTTACGCAATATAGGTTGCTCATCTTACATAAGCTTCTATATGGCACAAAACCATGGACGCAATCACAGAATGATAAAACAACAGTGGGAGTTTTCGAGAGGAAAGTTCTTCGTAAGATTTTTTATGCTCTACGAATTAACGACGACTATCTCATCCCAATAAAACACGAGCCATACAAGCTTTATCACAACATTACCATAATTCAGCAAATTAACATCCAGTGGCTACACTCTCTTAGATTCTTTGGAAATACCTAATGCACTTCAAACACATGCATTTGCTTACTGTTTAGTCTATCCTTATATGAGTGAGATTTACCTCATCATTCTTCCTTTAGTAGTATGTATATATTATTTAATTTTGAGCATATGTTGAAGTAAATTTAAAGGCGTTAGAAGGGTCAAATTTCAAAATTTAAGTTAACAATTATTTTGTGAAGAGTTACGCCATTAAATTTGCACAATAATTTACAATTAGTGAAGAAATTGAACAAAATGAATTCAAACTTATAGGTTTCGGTAGCAGAAATTATATTATATTCTTCAACAATAATTAGAAGAGATGCATTTGCCAATTAATTGTATTTTTAAATCAAGTTTAAAACAAACCCTTCGAATCTGTTCTAGGAAAAAACAGAAATATTGAGGAAAACATTATTATATTTGTTTTATATTTGCGTAATGAAATCGGATAATTTTTGTTTTAATCACAGACAGAGAGCAATAACACAAAGCACAATTATACTAATTATATTAACATAATAAAATATGCCAAATTTACAGCAAAAAGTTTTCGAAACAATTGTAGTTAGGACAACTGCAAGTAGAATGTTATGGGTTATGGAATCTGAAACTTTTGTGGCACGTTGTCACGCAATTAGTAGAGAATTTGAAAAGTAAAATCAAGAATATATCATCCGACAGAAAATATCAAGAGCACATATTAGCTAACATGATCTGAAAATACCACAAAAAGGCAAATTTCCTACTACATACGAAGAAGATGAAATAGCATCACATAACTCAACGTAAGCCAAACAGAGTAGAAAATTCTAATTCATATAAAATTAAAACTTTTTATACAAAATGACAAAAATTCATATAAACTAAAGGTTGAAGGAACCTGAAAGTTATGCACTGCAACACTGTTAACCACCTAACTGCCTTTACTAATATCGCAGAATCTCATATGCTCGTGTCGCAATGGCTTGCATTTAAAACAGTTCATAACCAAAATATATTTATTTAGTCAAGCGATAATAACAAAGGTGGAATTCATAAGTCAATGAATATGTGCTACTCAGCTCGGTGTGTAAGTTGGATGTGACATTAGAGCACGTCTAAGCCATGCACAGAATGCAAGGGTTGCATTGTTAATTTGCATAGATACGAGCTTTAGTGTTTGAAAACTTGCAAAGTAAGAAGGTCGAAAATAATATGAAAGCAACGTATAAATATCCCGACATTAGAAACAGAAGTGCAAAGTTCGTGAATACCTTTTATTCTGCTAAAAATGCACGCATAAGTTGGCCAAAATCCAACAAAAGCAGGTCATGAAAGCATATAATCTATTCCTGAAATAAGCCAGTAGAACGTTTTGAAAGAATGTTTGTCTCTAAAGAGTAAGTAAATTTTTTAGTTATTTAGAAACTAATTAATAAATGCATAATTGGAAAAAATAACAGTATTAAATTTAAAAAGGATTAATAATCAAGTATACTCGAGTGGTTTCAAACTCACATTTATATATCAACACAAGACGTATAGGACCAATATTTACAATGGCGAAGTAGTATGTGCAAAATATACGTGCCGTAACTATGCACTTCTGCCTTACTTCTATACTGCTTAAGATGGATGAAAATAATAATAATAATAATAATAACCAAATAATTCGTTCATCACTTCCATATGGTTGTGTAGCGTTTAGCAAAGCTTTAAACACTACTATTCACCAGCTAGAAATTGCACAAAGCCAGGCCCTGAGAGGACTTTTCAAAGTTCCATGGTACATTAGGACGAATGACGTCCTCAGAGACATCAAGATTGATCCCATTAAAAAATACGTAAAGGATAGAGCTCTGAAAATATTTGCGAAAACTAACAGACTTACCAACACCGAGTTATCAAATATCAAAATGGTTACAGGCTCCTCGGGGTGGATCTGAGATCTGAGGTCAATTATTGCTTAGTCTGATGAAGTGATAAACAATAATCTAGTCAAGGTGTAAAGAGGGGTTTTGAAAATACCTCGAGTTAAAAATGAGTATAAGTGTTTAAGTGCACTAGCTCAAAACAGCTTGAACATAATAAGTAATTTATAGAAAATGGACAAACGTGTCTGTATAAGACTCAAGGAATGTGATCGTAATTTTCTCCAAACATCTGAAACATCATTCTTAAATATCTATAGCTGACTTTAAATCATTCTTGGTAATTAATCACAATAATCAGGAATACTACACATTTTCTAAACATACCGATGTAATGTTTTTAAAATATAGTTAATTATAAAACAGAGTATATAGCGCTTCGTTAGAAAATGTAGCAATACTGTCTTCTTATATTGAGCGTATAAAACTTTCAGTTTACTTACCAGGTGGGACAATTTCACCTCTTTCACGAGTCCAATAATTAATTGACTTTGGATATGCTTCCGATTGACATTCCAAGGTAACACCCTTTCCTTCAACAGCTCCAATTAGCTGGTTCTGTACTGTTATTACAGGTGGAACTAAAAATTAAAGAGATGTGATTTGAGTGTAACGCTAAAAAAAAGGTCATTATACAAAGACTCTTTGTGAACTATTTACTTTACTAGCATATATACTTGTATAAAAATCAAAAACTGTTGTCACTTAAAGCATATAATATATATATAATATCAAAGAAATACAATTAAATATATTTAATTATTACTATTATTACTAAATAATGTGTTGTAATAATAATTTACAGATTTTGTTCCTGTACGATGTGCTTCTCTTTAAAAGCTTTTTCCTTATTTTACTTTGCCAATAACTTATTCTTCATTCAGATTTAAAATACAATATATATATGTAGAAACAGTTATTGGGATTTAAGCTCTTTATCGGATTTAAAAATTTTTTTTGGAGATTAATGTGAAATGTCGTTCAAATAGAGTTTATATTTTGACAACCTATAAATTAGAAAAACCATTTTGGTTTGTGCTATAACTACAACTACAACTACAACTATACCCATAACTGTATATAATATATATAATAAATAAAAATTTAAAATTAAGTTATTGATATATTTAATTAAATTTCGTTTTGTTATTAACTATTTTTTTTTACTCACAATGTACAACTAATGATATTCTTTTGCTGACGGTTGGAGGTACACCATTTGAGGCAATACATAAATATGCGCCCATGTGTTGACGCTTAACCGATGGCAGCATCAAGTCTACGCCTTCCACGCTGAGTACTGTAATAGAATAATTAACATAAAATATAGAACATAATTCACACGATAACATTACCTTCATTAAATTATAAATTTTTTACAAGCTTATATCAAACTTATGTACGGTTAAAACCAAGGACCGAAAATTTGTCCCTGTTTTGTAAATTTTCAAGAAAAAAGCAGCAACCGAAAGTTGTCTAAATTCTTATTTGGGTATGACCAAAGAGTATATAAACATAGAGAGTGCATGTCGAATAAAATATCAGTCGCAAAAGTTTTGTTCTACTGTTTTTTTAAAAACCCAGAAATTACTCAATATTTTAGTCCTTTTACTAAATGTGTGCAATGAGACTGAATTTTCATTGATATGTGCTCATCATCACACTCAAACGCTATTTTTGATATAAGTATGCTCTATTAGTAATCTTTGACTATTTAGGTCGTGTGCGAGTTCGAGTAAATTGATGGGAAATTGAAGGAAATAGTAAATTATGTCGGTATGGCAGCGAATGTTGATATTTACCAGAATTTCAAGTAAATAAATTGGATAAATCAGGTGTGAACTTTGTGACGATTTTATAAAATGTTCAATAAATAAATAAATAAATTTAAAAACATTTAACCAAAAATAATAAATAAGTGCAATAAATAAATAAATATATATTTACATAAGTGCAGTGCTAAAAATCCCTAGGAAATGTCAATTTACTTTACCTCAATTTACTTGAACTCGCACAAGGCCTAAATCGTTTTATTTCATTTTTTTATGTATTTTTCATTATTTAATGATCATTTGCAATAAATTTGAACTTTGTTGCTAAATGTGTGCAGTATAAAAATCCCATTTAGTTTAGCATGAAATTAGAAGAACTCGCACACATTTTTAATAATCAAAATTATTTTAATAAATGTTCTTATGCTGAACATTCACAAAATATATAAATTCACTATATTTTATAATTAAATTCTGGCTAAGTTCTTTTATATTATTGTTAATAAGAGTTGTCTTAATTGATCTTAATTAAGTGCTAACTTGAATTGTAGAACTAACATTTTTCTTATTCATTTTAGAAATGTTTGTTGATTTTTGACTTCTCTAAGGCCCACAAGCAATGCTTACGAAGTAAAAGCAAAATTAAAAAATCAAGAAGCTTGATTAGATGTTCGTTACAGGGCCCATTAAATCACTGAGGGGTTTTTTAATGGCAATTGCATCTGGTTTATGTTTGAATACGTGTTCAAAAACCTCGACGTGTTTACAAGAACCATTGAAAAAGCTTTGTGATGGCGCAAACTATTTTATATATTATAACTATTTTATCATTTTTAAGATTTTTTTAGTGATGCACACTCTATATTTATATACTCTATGCTTTAACTTTTCCACACACCATTCTACTTTTTAATTTAAAACGCAAAGTTATTTACTAATATTGCCTTAAAAACAAAAAACTCAAAATTGACGCAAAAAAACTATTTTTGCAGACCAAAATAAAACGCCTTGTACCTATGTAAGTTATTTCTGAAAAACATATATGAGGTACAAGTCGGGGGTATTATTTTTCAGCAGAGAATGGTGATTAAACAGTTAGTATAGGTAAGGAGTTATTGTTTCTTTATTTAACAAGTATTGTGATCATGATTTCGTTCTAGTATTTTTATAAAATTTAAGTACATATTTTTTTATTAAAATTAATTCTACGTCAATTTGACAACCGTAACTATTTTACTTAATAGAAACTGTTGTATTTGATAGAGAGGTTTCGAAAGGTAGTAAAATATATCAACAAAATGTTTTTTTTATTATTTATATTATATTAATAATTGATTTTATATTAATAATTATTTTTAAAAAATATGATACAAATAAAGCAAATAAAATTATTATATTTTAAATTTTATTTTGATAGACGAATGATAAGACTTTTGGTGATTTTTTTTTAATTAATAACTATCATGGTCTCAGATAGATACTATATAAAGTCTGTTCTAGTAGACACAATATATATAAAAGTTCTTTTTTTGACTGTTTTGATCATTTAATAGTTTAACATAAATTTAGCACCCAAATTTGGTTGAAAAGTTGTAAATATATATACATGCATATATTTAAACCTATATTTAAGAACTAGTTTACAAAACAAAACAAAAAATAATACGAATTTAAAATGCGCCTCAGAAGTGTTACTCACATAGCTGATAATGGCAATTGACTGAGTAGTATAAGACGTACGTCAAAGACACGGATCTCTAACATCTTATGAGACAGCGGAGATGATGGTGGTCTCTTGTATTATCTTTAAACGGCTTATCCAAGCAATTAGTACATTTATCTCCGTGTATTTGTTTTTACAATTCACTCAAGGTTTTTTTATCCAATCCTTTTTGTAACTCTTGACCTAGAAGCGAATATTATATGCTTGGTCGATTTCACTACAGCAGAACATTGTCCTTATGAACAAGGACGTCTTGTGTAGGAAACTGAACAAAAAGTTGAGGGTAGTGTTGAAACTAAGCCCTACGAAAGCAAAGACAAAAGATTGACCACAGAAAGGAAATTTGACAAAGTTGTTAGCTTACTGACAGAATCGTATCACTAATTGATCGCTTTAGTTAAGTCATGACAAATTTCTAATAAACAGCAGAAAACATTAGAAATGAAGCTGCCAGACACTTTGTTTAACAAAAGAAACTCTAAACCGTATGCACACTTGCCGTGTTTTAATGGTGCCGGTTGGTGTGAGTCCGAGAACTTTCCAGAGGATGCGTTACGACTAGTATGAAAACAAAATCCTAATGTGTTATTGTATGGATTAGAAGGTGTTAAAAGTCAGCCATCCTGTCTCACAGAATGAAGGACAAAGTAACATCGTTTCGATGAAGAAGATAACGGAGAACAGTTAATATGCGCAATTCTGAACGACGTTATGGAGCGTAAGAAATGTGTACCTGCCTTATAAAAAACATCATCTATCTGAGAAAAAACATTGCGTTATGGGGAAAGTTAATAATTGTGTTGGCATTGAAGATGTTCTCGACTTCTCTCTCACTCTGCTTGGAAAAAATTAAATGCAGAAGTTGATGTAGAATCTAATTTCGATTTTAGACCATATGCACGTTCTGAAAACTTTGAATCTCCAGCGCTTTAAAATTCCTTCTGATGAATTTTTTTCTTACTGAAAAAAAATTTGTAATATGTATATCCCTAATAAGACTCACTAGTTAGGAATCAATATACTTCAGATACTGCGTATCGGTAATAGCAACAGCGGTACGGAACATATTATGGATACACACAGCCCCAACGATAGCATCGAAAACGGTGACCTATTATTGGAGATAAAACAATAAACAAACAATGGGAAAAATTCAAAGAAACCCTAAATACTACCGTTGTAGAGGTCGTTGAATTCACCAGAAGGGAAGACAAAGAGTGGTTATCCACCAATTTTTGCAAACTAGTAGATGAAAGGCGACAAATTAAAATAAAACTTGATGCCGAAGCGAACCCTGATAGAACTATGTATCTTTAACAGCAACTGCAAAATGTAATTAAACAAGTCAAAAGACAAGTTAGAAGCGATAAGCGTAACAATTTCTCAAGGCAAAAGTTACGCAAATGTATTACTTGTTGTTCAACTTCAACAATTGGTTAAACCAGTAATATGTAATTTAGAAGAAACGCTAAAAACACTGATGAAAAGTGTTAAACCTTTTATGTCTACTGTTCTAATGGAAGCTCTGATAATGAAATAGAATATTTTTTAATCAGTAATGTAATTGATATTATTCTTTTATTTCGGAAACACATCTTACTCAAAAAAACGCTTTCAAAATTCCAAATTACTGCTTTTATGACACCAAGCATCCCGAAATTAGGGCTCGCGAAGGTACTAGTATTATAATAAAAAAAAAGACTTACACACTTCGATTTAGAAGACTTCAGCAAAAAATATCTACAATTAACAGCTATCTGATTTGATGAATATGGAGAAAACGTCGTAATAGCCCCAATATATTGCCCACCCAACCACAATATAGAAGTCCAAGACTTCCAAATGTTTTTTAAAACACTCGTTAATAAATTTCTAGTCGCAGGCGATTTTAATGCCTAGCACACATTCTGGGACTCAAGACTAATAACACCAAGTGAACGGAAACTTCTAGCAGATGTAAAAAGTAAAGATCTCGATGTTATTTCAACTGGATACTGGCCTTTTGATCGACAAAAAGTACCAGATCTTGTTGACTTAGGTCTAAGCAAAAATATTAAACTATGAAAAATCACCGCATTTTCATCAGTTAAACTATCATCCGATCACTCATTAACAATAAAAACAGTACAATGTCAACAGAATAGAACTATCCAAAGGTAAAGTTTAACGAAATATATAAACTGGTTAAAATTTCGTGAATATGTTTCTTGCCACATACCACAATATGCTTCGTTAAAAGAGAATAATGAAATTGATACTTGTGTTAACCAATTTTATGAAGTAATCTCAACGGGTGCTGAAGTAACTTCGATAAGAACTGAAGAAACAACCCAAAAAATTGTTGTGACAAAACAATAGAGGCATTATGACAACGGAGGAGGAAAGCTAGAAAACTATGACAACGGCATACATAGATCCCCAAAACATAAAGTTTTACTTCCTAAGTCTACTAATGAACTCAAATATGCACTAACGGAAAGACATCAAAAATCTTTAGACAATTTGAACAACCTGATAAACATAGTACAATTGAACTAGTGTTTTGTATTGTATCATTCGTTAGAAACTCATTTAGAAATAAACAATATTGTACTTCCATATTTATAGATGTAGCCCAAGCGTTTGATAAAGTATGGCATGAAGGCTTAATACATAAAATAACAACACTCATGCCAGCTAATACTCACCTTTTGTTAAAAAACTACTTAAGTAAAAGAAGTTTTAGTTTAAGATATAAAGATTTTGTTTCAGGACCCTGTCCTATCAAAATTGACTTTGTTACTGATTTTCACAAAAATTAGTTAA